GAGACATCCTCAAATTTTAATCCGCCGGCCTCCTTCGACCTCGATATTTATCAGGGAAAAAATCCGCCGGCCTCCTTCAAGTTGGCACCGGGGGACAGGTTTACCAACTAAAAGAGAACCCTGGGCCCCAGCCCTTTCCGGGAACATTGGAGGTGATTACACATCCGGTGTCGATTCGTTGATTTTTGGGGCCGCAGAAAGCCCCCCCCTTTTGGGCGGCGTCCCGTCTTCGTCGCCGGTCGTCCTCATCGTCGTCGTCGTCGTCGTCGCCGCCGTCGTCGTCGTCGTCGTGGTTGTCGTCGTCGTCGTCTTCGTCGTCGTCTTCGTTTTCATCGCGCCGTCGTCCTCCTCCTTTCCCTCTTAGGTAACAGGGTCAGATGCGAAGCCCGATTCGGTGAGAGGACAATGAAGTAGCTCAATGGGAAGGTATGGGAGGGAGGGGTAGGATGTCAGATGTTGACGCGAGCGCACCTAGCTTGCCTCCCTCCCCTCCCCTCCTCTCCCTCCCCTCCCCGCCTTTCCCCCCCCCTCCCCTCCCCTCCTCCCCTGCGCAGGTGGGCGGGGCGGCGCCGCCACACTCCTGCCCCTCTACAATTACACAATATGAAAATACTCTCCCACTTCCCCTGATGGCGTCCGGAAGATATTCGGCACCCCCCCGCGTACTGTTTTTTTACACACAGGATTCCCCCGGACAAAAAAAGTTGTGTTTTTCGCCTTGTGTTTTTTTTAAAAATGCTGCGCTCGAGCTCGCTTGAGGCGCCGGCCTCATTTCTGCTCCGAATCGTTCCGAATCGTGCTCCCGCTGCAGCGTGGGCCTCATTTTCGGATCGGTGTTTGGCCTCCGTCGTTCAGGATGGCGTTCTCGCCCCAGCGCGGGCCTCTTTCTCGCGCGCCCATCCGCCCGCCAACACCGCGCCGCACCACCACCACCACCACCACCACCACCACCACCACCACCACCACCACCACACCAGCACCATGAGGGCATCACCGAAGCGACCACACCAGTCAGCCAGCACAAGCATCATCACCATCCCGCAGCACCGGATTCGTTAAGAAACACCACCACCACCACCAGCACACCCAGCAGCAGCAGCACCACCACCACCACCACCACCACCACCACCACACCACCACAACCACGCACACAAGCACGCACGCACGCGCACCACCACCCACTACGCACGCGCGCGCGGAGCCACAGGTCCGCTACGACACGCGTCCGCGGATAGAGAAAATCAGCGCCATGGAAAGGGATGGGAGGGAGGGGTAGGACGTCAGATATGACGCGAGCGCACCTAGCTTGCCCCCCCCCCTCTCTCCCTTCCTTCCCCTCCTTCCCCTCCCCTCCTTCCCCCTCCGCGTCCCCCTCCAGTCCTTCCCTCTCCCCTCCTTCCCCCCTCCTTCCCCCTCCACGGGCGGGACAATTTCAAGCAGGACGCCCTGTTTATAGCGAGCCAGCGCGCGCGAGCCCTGCCAGGGGGCGGGTCGGGCTGGGCGGGCGGACCCCAGCGGGCGAGTCGGGCCGGGCGGGCGGACCTTCCTCTCCTCCTCCTCCTCCTCCTCCTCCTCCTCCTCCTCCTCCTCATCATCATCATCATCATCATCATCATCATCATGATCATCATGAGTATAACATCAGCCAGCATCAGCATCAATCATCATCTCATATCATCCTCATCATCATCATCAGCAACAGCATCATCATCCATCATCATCAGCGCACGATCACTCACCATCAGCACTCATCATCACCACCATCATCATCATCATCACGTCGTCATCATCACCACCACCAACAGCATCATCATCATCATCATCATCATCATCATCAATCTCATCATCATCATCATCATCATCATCATCATCATCATCATCATCATCATCATCATCATCATCATCATCATCATCATCATCATCCACGCCTCCTCCTCCTCCTCCGCCGCCTCCTCCTCCTCCTCCTCCTGGGGGGGGGGAGCGGATGCCACCACGCTCGAGGCAGAGGCGTTCCGCCGCCAGCCACTAGCAGTTTGTGTTTTGCGCGGCGGCGGAAAGGGAGGAGAGGGAGAGAAGAAGGAGCAACCAGACGGCGGCGAACGCGCAGGCGGGAGGCCAAGGAATAGGGTAACGAAGACTGACATAAACATTAAAACTCGGAGGTCCGCGCGGATTCCTCGGATCCGCGCTGGACCCCCTCCCGAGAAATCCGCGCAGACCTCCGAGTTTTTATGTTTATGTCATTTTTCGATCCCCTCGGGAAGGCGGGACGAAGCACGCGGGCGGGCGGGCGCGTGATACCCATGAGCCAGAACTGACCGGAGACTCGGGCAGCTGACCCCGTCGCCCTGGACCACACACCTTTACCCAACCTTCGGAAGTGCGGAAGCGGAGGGGGGGCGAGGGGGGGAAGAGCAGGCGGCACCCGGGAGGCGGACGGGAAGGGAAGACGCCAGGCGGCCTCTGCTGTCCCTCTGCTAGGGCTGGACCCTTCACACTTAGGCAGGTTTGCCTCAATCTCTCTTGGGGCGTACCTTAGTGCATCTGGGTCTGCACCGGGTTCGTCGACCCACATGGACCTCCCGGGATCCATCCCCGCTGGTCCACTTGAAGGGTCGCCGAAACCCTGGGGACATGGGGCGGCCTCCTGCTAGGAGCGAGGCTCGAATTCCTCGACTTTCTCGGCCCTGTTTGAAACGCCGGAGGGCTCTGGAGGTCTCCGCGGACCCCAGGGGACCCCTGGAGACAATTTGGTACGGTACCCAGACCTCTTCCAAAGCGATGACACCTACTTCTGCCGGAATACATTGCACATGTTCGGCGTCTGGAGACCGCTCCTGGGCCCCGAGCCAACGACACGAACACAGTGAGGACTGGGGACCAGTGCCTCGGAACAAATCAAGTCGTCGAATGTCTCGGTCGAGGGGGATTGGTAACAAAACAGGGCTAGGATCGGGATAAGTCGCTCCAGAGCGGTCCGGAGAGCTCTCAGAGCGTTCCGGAACGCTCTGGAGCGGCCGCGGCGCCCGATACATCCTCCAAACCCGCCGATTCTCCGAGATTTCGAGTTCTCCCGATCCGATTTTGTCCCGATCTTCGCGTCGTTTGATAAGCTGTCGGGGGTGTCCGAAGGATCGGAGCGGATCCCTCAAGCAACGCTCGGCAGCGCCCGGCTGTGGCGACGAGGCGGTTCGCCGACGCGTCTGGATCAGACCCCATCGCTGCCAGCACCGAACATCAAGGAGGAGGAGGAGGAGGAGGAGGAGGAGGAGGAGACACCAAGCAGGAGGAGGAACCACGGAGGAGGAGGAGGAGGAGGAGGAGGAGGAGGAGGAGGAGGAGGAGGAGGAGGAGGAGGAGAAGGAGGACGATGATGGCGACGACGAGGATCACCCCTGGCCCTGGACAGCGGTTCTGGCGACGACCACGACGGCGGCGCCGCCGACAGCGGGTGGCATCGGGAGGTCTGCGGAGGCCCCCCCCGCGGAGGCCCCCGCGATGGGCCCCCGCGGAGGCCCCCGCGGGCCCCCAGAGAGGTCGCCGGCGTCGAGCAGCGGGGCCTCCCCCCCGAGGTCCTCGGAGCACGGAGGCGACGGAGGGGAGCAGACCTGGGTGGGAGATGGCGAAACGACGGTGATCAGTAGAACGGAACTCCCCCCTCCCTCCGTCGAGCAGCAGGGGAGCAGACCTGGGTGGGAGATGGCGAAACGACGGTGATCAGTGGAACGGAGCTCCCCCCTCCCTCTCCCCGCTCCGACTCGTGCTCCCGCTGCAGCGCTGGCGTCATCTCCAGTGCCATGCCACGGCACGCAATGCAATGCCAGGTTGATACTACGCTTTGCGGTGCTCTTCTGCGCCATGCCATGCCGTGCTCTACAATGCATCGCGTACCCTTTCGGGATCATTGCCCTGCTCGACATCCGACTGTGCGAGTAGAGAGGGGATCTACGCCATGGTAAGGGATGGGAGGGAGGGGTAGGATGTCAGATATGACGCGAGCGCACCTAGCTTGCCCCCCCCCCTCCCCGCATGTCCGTCCCCCCCCCTCCCCTCCAGATTTACTCTCCCGGTCTTCTTGGGAGAATTTTGCCCTGCGGCGTACCCAACCCGTCAGCATCGAAGATGTTATCAGGTGTGCCGACCACAGTGCGACAGCAACACTGCAAGAGACGGTGCACGGCGGATGCCTTTGTCGTGCGAAGCGTGCGTGGCCGACTCGCAGAACAGAGGTACAAAAGGTCCGGAGACATTCTACTGGGAAGGAGAAGCAACAAAGAGACATCGGGGAGGAAGAACAATCACCTCGGCAGAAGCAGCGAGATGATGGCGAGATCTGTTTGGGATCTGCGTGGGACCCCACTGCGCTGGCCATCCCAGCGGCCCTCAAAAACTTGAGACAGTTTCGCACGTTGCTGCCCACCAGGGGTGGCGAGGTCCCGGTTGGCTCTGCGCGGGGCCCCACTCACTGTGCTGCCCCGCCCCAGCAGCCCTCGAAAGTGGCAACAGCTCCACACTTCGCAGCCACCCAGGGGTGGCGAGGTCCCGCTTGGCTCTGCGTGGGAGCCCCACTGTGCTGCCCCCCCCTCCCCCCCCCCCAGCAAACCCTCGAACGTGGCGGCAGTTTTGCACTTCGCAGCCTCCCAGGGGTGGCGAGGTCCCGTTTGGGGTCTGCGTGGGACCCCGCTGCGCTGCCCCATCCCCCCAGCAAGCAGGTGCAGGCAGGCGCAGGCAGGCGAGAGGGGGACAGAGGGCGGGGAGGAGAAGGAGAAGGAGAAGGGAGTCGGCACCCCACTGCTCGATTCGAAACGAGAACCCAGCCATGTAGCCATGTAGCATAAGCATAGAGATGTGGCGCTCCGCGCGGACTTCTTGGATTTGCGCTGGGAGCCCCCTCCCTGCCGCGCGGAGCGACAACAGCTTATGGTTGTGGGTTTGTTTCCTCTTCGACACCCCATCCCATCAGCTGTGCTTTCCCGGTTCCGTCGCCCGCGACGACGGCGGGGGCGCGCCTGGCAGCTGCAGCGGCGCTCATGGAGTCGTCGTGCCCTACCACCCCTCGCCGCGCTGGCCGTCAAGGGCCTCGGCGCGCGTACGCTGGGGCTGGCAGGCGGCGGCGGCGGCATGCCCGTCGTGCTGCTCTGCCCTGTCAGGGGAGGGAAGGGCGAAGGAGGACAACAAGGAGGGAGGAGGAAAGGAGGAGAAGGAGGAGGAGCAGGAGGAGGAGGAGGAGGAGGGGAGGAGGAGGATCACGAGGAGGGATTGGGAACTCCACCCCCGAGGGCGCACCGGGTCGACACAGCCGGGAGACGAGTAGATATGATGCGACCGGTCACACATCCCAGTGCAAGAGCAGACCATGCACTGCCTGTACACAATCATAGCAACCCGCCGTGCGCGGATACGTGCGAGGCACTGCAATGCCCCTTCTACCACTGCCTCGATCACCTACACACTAACTCTGCGCGCTACCAGTACAATCCTCACCATCTGAAAAACACCGGAGAATAGATTCCCAGGCCGCCGCCAACGAATAGCTGACTGTAGAGCATCCCCGTCGGCGGCTTCACTTCTCTCACCACCAGAAACTCATCAAGCAGCTGTCGGGCATAGTCATTGAACCCACACACACACACATAACACTCGAAGTAACCAGCATTATCTCCCATTTGTTTGTCACCGCTTGTGAAACAAAATAACTTCAGGAACGAAGGGCCCCATGTACTCTTCCCCTGTCACGCCGACGGGACAAGGGCCGTCGACGCGCGCGACGACAGCACGCAGCATGTAGAAAACCGAAGAAGTGTCCTCTTCCATTCGGGCTGTGGCAGCACTGCTGAATCCGAAAGAGCCGTGTAACAATTGCAACTGGGCGTTTGGATGCACATGATCGTTGGTGTGCACGCCAATCTTCGTGTCCACGTCTTCGTGACTGAAGTCGTTGCCACTGCAGATGTGGAATACTGTTTGGCTCCGTCTATAAGGTAGTGATTCCGAGATGCTGGAAAAGACGGGACGTCAGAGAGCGAAGACCAGCTCAGCAGGACTGCATCCAGTGGTACCCCGCGCAGTCTCGTGCACAGGAGGCCTTTTGGCCTCAGGTTCCTCGGGGCCCTCGAGGTGTGGATCCGGGGGGGATCATGTCCAGCTTCTTCCGTTGACTTGTCGTGCCGACCTTGCCTGGAGTCGAGCTTCGGTCGGTGCTCATCGCGGCCTCCACCTCCAGGAGGGCCTCCGGCATAATCATCACCATCCGGGCGGTGCTCATCAGGTAGCGCGAACCGCATGTTGACGCCACTCCGTCGTGGATTGCGCCGGTGTCCTCGGTCCGTGACCGCGGTGCCTACGATGCGCGCCGCCGTGGCCAGGCCGCAAATGCAGGCAACATAACCCCGCGATGTTCAATGCGAGGGGCACTGGCGAACGGCTCCACGACGACCTTGGCTCGGCATCCTGGCGTCATTGATACCCAGCGACATCCAGGCAACGTGCCCGTCCTCGATGCACTGGCGGAGATGCCTGATGCGGCAGGATGCTACCATCGCGCGCAGCCGGGCTCCCGTCAGCGCAAAGTGCGCTGCTCCAGCCGCGCGCCCCGGCCAGAGCGCAGGCGGCGGCCTGAGCCAACATGATGGACCCACGAACCCGGAAAGGGATATAGACATGTGGAGCATGGACACGTTTTCATGATACCCAACTGGGCAACACCTCACGAAACATCCCACGAGACACCTCACGAAACAGCCCACGAGACACCTCACGAAACATTCCACGAGACACCTCACGAAACTTTTCACGAGACACCCCGCGAAACATTCCACGAGACACCCCACGAAACATTCCACGACGACTGGCAACCACTCACCCAAGGCGGTGTGGTCGTGCTGGGGAGTGGTCGTGCTGGGGTGTGGTCGTGCTGGGGGGTGGTCGTGCTGGGGGGTGGTCGTGCTGGGGGTGGTCGTGCTGGGGGGTGGTCGTGCTGGGGCGTGGTCGTGCTGGGGCGTGGTCGTGCTGGGGCGTGGTCGTGCTGGGGCGTGGTCGTGCTGGGGGGTGGTCGTGCTGGGGTGTGGTCGTGCTGTGGTTTGGTCGTGCTGGGGTGCGGTCGTGCTGGGGTGTGGTCTTGCTGGGGTGGGGTCGTGCTGGGGTGTGATCGTGCTGGGGTGGGGTCGTGCTGGGGTGTGGTCGTGCTGGGGTGTGGTCGTGCTAGGGTGGGGTCGTGCTGGGGTGGGGTCGTGCTGGGGAGTGGTCGTGCTGGGGTGTGGTCGTGCTGGGGTGTGGTCATGCTGGGGCGTGGTCGTGCTGGGGTGGGGTCGTGCTGGGGTGGGGTCGTGCTGGGGTGGGTTCGTGCTGGGGTGCTCCGCACCCTGTGATTTTTCGATCGGGTCGTGCTGGGGTGTGGTCGTGCTGGGGTGTGGTCGTGCTGGGGTGTGGTCGTGCTGGGGTGTGGTCGTGCTGGGGCGTGGTCGTGCTGGGGTGGGGTCGTGCTGGGGTGGGGTCGTGCTGGGGTGTGGTCGTGCTGGGGTGGTCCGCACCCTGTGATTTATCGATCGGGTCGTGCTGGGGTGGTCGTGCTGGTGCTGGGGTGTGGTCGTGCTGGGGTGTGGTCGTGCTGGGGTGTGGTCGTGCTGGGGTGTGGTCGTGCTGGGGTGTGGTCGTGCTGGGGCGTGGTCGTGCTGGGGTGTGGTCGTGCTGGGATGTGGTCGTGCTGAGGTGGCCCGCACCCTGTGATTTATCGATCGGGATTTCAAAAACAAGCGTTTCGCTCGAGACATCCTCAAATTTTAATTCGCCGGCCTCCTTCGACCTCGTTATTTATCAGGGAAAAAATTCGCCGGCAATTCGCCGGCCTCCTTCAAGCAGGCACCGGGGGACTATGTTTACATACTAAAAGAGAACCCTGGGCTCGAGCCCTTTCCGGGAAAACAAACAAATTAGTCGAAACATCATCGAAATTCCTCGCGCGGGGCGCTTTTCCGCGTCGCGGTCGGCTCTGCAAAACAAGCGTTTCGCTCGAGACATCCTCGGCAAACTCTGCGGAGCAAGCGTTTCGCTCGAGACATCCTCAACACACGAAAAAGTGGCCCGCACCCTGTGATTAATCGATCGGGATTTCAAAAACAAGCGTTTCGCTCGAGACATCCTCAAATTTTAATTCGCCGGCCTCCTTCGACCTCGTTATTTATCAGGGAAAAAATTCGCCGGCCTCCCTCAAGTTGGCACCGGGGGACAGGTTTACCTACTAAAAGAGAACCCTGGGCCGGCGCCCTTTCCGGGAAAAAGGGCCACGGAACGAGGATGGAGGAGGATGTGGTGGTGGTGGTGGAGCCGTTGGAGGCCGCAGCCTGAACATCTCGAACGCGCTGGATATAGGAGCATCTACGAGGAAACTCCTTGTCGTTTCCGCTCCGCTGCCTGCGGAGACTCGCTCTGCAATTCTGGCAAGAAGCGACCACCGCACTAGCGGGGCCCCCCCAGCACTGCGTTCCTGAGAAGACCAGCCTCGCCCAGCACCGACGACGAGAAGGGAACGACAGGCGGGGAGAACGGCGGGCGAGACAAGCGAGAGGGGCCACGGAACCAATAGGGGAACAACAAGTGGCATCAGCATAAAAACTCGGAGGCCCGCGCGGATCCGAGAAGTCCGCGCGGATCCGAGAAATCCGCGCGGACCTCCGCACGACCCCGAGCCAAGGGCGGGAGAGCACACGCAGAAAACACCAGTCGCGGAAGAGAGGCGAGAGACGGAGGAGGAGGAGGAGGAGGAGGAGGAGGAGGAGGAGGAGGAGAGAGGAGGACGAGGAGAGGAGGAGAGGAGGAGGGGGGAGGAGGCAGGCAGGCAACGGATGGGGGCGAGGCCGCCGACCTCGGAGTGGCGAAGGGCTACCCGCCCTCCTCACTGGAGCGCACCCCCCGCCCCATGCACCTCTGCTCCTCCTCCGCCTCCGCCTCCTCCTCCTCCTCCTCCGCCTCCTCCTCCTCCTCCTCCTCCTCCTCCTCCTCCTCCTCCCTCCTCCTCCTCCTCCTCCTCTCCCCCTCCTCCTCCTCCTCCTCCTCCTCCTCCTCCTCCTCCTCCTCCTCCTCCTCCTCCTCCTCCTCCTCCTCCTCCTCCTCCTCCTCCTCCCTCCTCACGCCTCGCAAAGAATTGCTCCGCGCTTTCAGAGGCGCAGGCAGAAGCATCGGCATCCCCCCCCCTCGTCGTTGCTCCAGAGGTCGCTCCTCGCGCAGCCGCTGCCCCCGAGAGCATCCTCGGCTTCGCCAGGCTCGTCCAGCTCCGCGACGGCGAAGCCCACCCACACAAGAGTCGTCTCGTCGAGCAAAGTATCGAAACTGTTGGTGGGCCACGTCCTCCTCCTCCTCCTCCTCCTCCTCCTCCATCTCCCCCTTCTCCCTCCCTCCTCCTCCCCCCTCCCCCCCCCCTCCTCCTCCTCCTCCTCCCACTCCCCCTTCCCCTCCCCCCCCCCCCCCTCCCCCTCCCCCTCCCCTCCCCCTCCCCCTCCCCCTCCCCCTCCTTCCTCCGCCTCCTCCTGCCTCCTCCTCCTCCTCCTCTTCCTCCTCCTCCTCCCTCCTCTTCCTCCTCCTCCTCCTCCTCCTCCTCCTCCTTTAGACGATGTCGGCGAACGCTCGAGGGGGGCCGTCTTGGAAATCCGAAAGACGACCATGTGGAAGGCACGCCCGTCGCTTTGGAAGAGGACCAACACCCTGCCCATGACAAAAGTCCTCCAGGCCCGTGCGTGGGATCCGCAGGACGGCCGCGCCACACCCATGGAGACGGTCGGCACCACGAACACGTGGAGGATCCGCGCGACCCTGCTGAAGGAGACCCGCTACAGAACCATGTATGGTGGCCTGGGCACTCCCAGTGCATGGCGCGGTCTGCGTAAGAGGTAGTGCACGAACAAGTCCCGCACCGGCCCGAACCCAGAGGACGTCAGGATCCATATCCAGCTCATGGCGATGACAAAACGATCTGCAAGTCGATCCGCACCACCACGCCCAGGAAGACGGTCAGCACAGCGATAGCGTAGAAGATCCGCACGCTCCTGATGAAGGTCCGCACCCAATTCATGGCAAGGATCTGTAGG